TGTGCGTTGGCCATTTATTATTTCATTTCTACTATGTTGTTTATGTTGGAAGCATTCTTATGCTGAGCCTTTTAGCTTTGCGAATGGAGATACATTCGAGGGATATATGCAGAATGGAGTACAACATGGTTATGGGTTGTTGTATACAACGAAAGATAATGAGACAGAAATTTATCTGGGTGGCTGGCGTTCCGGGAAGCGTAACGGTTATGGTGTCTCCACAACCAATAGTATGTTACTTCTGTTTTTAGTGTCTACTTCTTTGCGTGTTTTTCACCGCAGCAGTAGCTGAGTTTTTCATCTCGGAGGATAGCTTCGCAAGTTTCTGATTTATCTGCAACGGTTTAGTTCCTCTTTTGCTTACAGTGCCAAAATAATTTTTCGCGTGGTTCTTCACTAGTATCATTTATTGTTAAGAGGACGATTATGAATACTTAAAATCGTTTTAAAGTGGTTTGGAAACCACAGCATTTTAATTTAACCTGGCCTGCTATCCTTCAGGGTTACAAAATACATGTAGGAACACGGGATCTGTTGGTGCTTCTGGTCTATCTCAAGAAAATTAAAAACTCATTTTTTAATATTATATTTTCTGCTGTTTCGTGTTGTAACTTAGAGTCATCATTAGGAAAGCCGGTCCCTCTGTCGACTCGCTGAATTGTTCTAATGGTGAATAACAACACCACCTCACTAAAAGATTTGGTAGTGAGAATTAAATCGCGTTCCAACTGACAGGTGATACTATTCTTGAAAGAAAGAACGCCGGCAACCTTGCTAATGGCTATGGCGGTCCCCTTCTAGCTGCTCTGTTGTGAGCAGACTGTTGAATTTGAATTTTGATGATCTCTGGATAAACTAAATGACTCTACTGAATGATATTTAAGGAGAGCGCTATCTTGGAATGTGGGAGAACGGGACAAAGCATGGAAAAGGTGCTATGATAAGTATCGATGGCGTATTTCAGGAAGGAGAATTTGATAATAACCGTTTAGTGGTATGTTGAAAATTTGGACGCCAGATTTTGCAATTATATTATCAATTTTACGTGACGATTGTAAACTGCAAATAATGCAGCCCCCGTTCCCTTCTTGAAACCAAATAAATGTTTTATTTTTTTCTTTGCTGAAGCATTTGTCGCTCAAGACAGAATGTTTAAAACGAATGCTGCACTGAAGGATAACTGTCTGCCAGTGCTGTGCAGGGCGACTTTATTACTTGTAATGCAAGAGGGCTGCCTTCAGAGGTTCAGGTACGCGCCCTTAGTATT